GGTCTTGTATTAATGATGAAATAGTCTGGCCCTCATCACTACAATAATAATAATAATAATAATAATTAATAATGATGATGATGATGATGATAATGATAGCAAAATTATTTATTATAATATAACTAATATGTGGTTTGGCCGGGTTTTATCTTGGCAATTTGAGCTTGAAGATTGTAAACAAAAAACTGACATTTCACTATTACCATACATGTACATGTACATACATTAATTATTGTACTACCTAAAACCAACAATACTTGTACTGTACATGTACTCTAACTATACACATACACATTATCCTCATACATTTCATCAGGAGATGGTGATCGTGATTTATATTCCTTGCTCCTTAAGTTTCCTTTCAGAGGCTCGTCTCCATTCTGATTGGTTGGTCCAGAGCTATCGTTGACTGGTGTGAGAGGGAACAGGTAACAAAATGGCTTCCATGTTTTGAGGATTGATAGCTTGTTCTCGGCATACTGGAACACATAACAAACTTTAATCCACAAAGACCTGAGAGGAGAGAGAGGGGGAAATAGAAATAGTACAAATAATGTTGCTGTACTAGCACAATCTCTCTTTCTTTCTCTCTCTCTCCAATCCGCCATTGGTTTACCTAGCTATACTTGCTGCTAGTCTAAACGGGAAGAGACAGATGGTGAGGATTAGCCTGAGGAGAGATGACAAGAGAGAGAAGAGGGCCCGGACCGGCCACGTTATAATATCAAAAAGTATCATAATATCCAAGAGAAAGGACTGGCTGGAGCTATAGGTCAAGGAGAGAACCAATACACACCAAACAAAGAAAGGGATAGAGAGGGAGGGAGGGAGGAAGGGAAGTAAGTTATTGTTTTCCTTCCTGTAGATCTACTTCTACTAAATATTTTTAATTAAACACGTGGGTTGTTATCAAAATGATATGAGGGGCCGGGTGTTTGCATGCATATAGCCCATAGACATATCTAAGTAGATCGTTATACTTTGAGCTGATTCCGATTGAAATTAGCTTTTTACAACACAGGCCAAATTTTGCCAAGAATTAAAAAGGGTGAATTCTCTATTTTAATTTTTTTCCTGATACATATACATGTACTTATGTTGTGTAGAAAGTTTGAGCAGATTCTTAATGAAATTAGATTATTAACGAATTTTTAAAGTTGCCATACACACTATGATAGCATTTATGGGTCTAGTCCTTCAGTGTTGTTTATGTGGAGCTTGCTCAAGCTTGCCCCAATAAAATAACTTCAGAAAACTATTGGCAGCAAGTATATTAAAGTATATATATAGTATCAAAGAGCTATTTTAGTGGCAAATCTATTTGAGTTTTTAAAAATAAGTCGATGTTCAACATCTTCATATAATGGGGAAGATTGGCAGGTTTCTGCATTTTTATTATCCAAAACAAGAGTAATTAAGTGCTTATTCTTCGTGAGGGCTTCCAGCAACCTCAGTACACCATCTGGACTAATGTTAGTACCCCAGACAGAAAGGTAAGTAAGAGATGTGTTGGTCTCGATTAGCTTTGCAAGAGATTCAGCAGATCTAATGCTTGGATTCCCATAAAGAGACAAAAAAGTAAGGTGTCGACTACTTTCTATTGATTCTTCAAGGACCTCAAGTCCATCATCAGTAATGGAGTCATTAGTTACTGTGAGCCGCCATAATGATTTATTGGTTTTGAGTTGTTCTGAGAAAGAATCGACAGAGTCTCTTGTTAATGGAGTTGCAGAGCCATCTATCCTAAGACATTTTGCTTTCTGGTTTTCAAGAAAATGTGACGCAACAAAAGACACACTTTCACAGGATGACTCTTTAATAACAATATTCTGAGTGTCTTTCAATTCATCAACTGCAGTCTGACACGTCTCAGAATCAGATAGACCAATAATTTCTACATCCTTTCCTTTGTGAGCTATTGTGGCACCTATGAAAAGAGATAAGAAGTTTGAAGTACTTGTATTAGCTATATATACTACAGTTATTGATGATGTGCTGCATTGAGGAATTCTGTATAGTTATAATAGTTACAAGTTATAATTAAGTTTCAATGGATGCTATGGGCTATTATAATTGTAACATTATACTAGTCTCATGCCCTGCCCCTTCAAAAGGCAACTGATGTACCCCTAATGCAGATACTACCTAAATTCATCAATTATAAGTCATTACTTCTAGTAGGAGAACAGACATGTTTACAATCTTCTTTCTGTGTTACTAACAACCAGTGTAGCCTAAGTGTCCTGGCAACTTCAATAGCTTCAACTATTTCATCTTTAGTACTTTCAGGTAGAAGGAGCTCCACAATATGTTCATGGTTATGCTGAGTTGCTAAGGTTAGAGGTATACTATTATTTTTTGTGTGTAGATGAATGTTGGCATTTTTCTTCAGTAAATATTTAACAATATCTTCACTTCCTTCCCTGCAAGCATAATGAAGAGCTGTATATCCGAGATCATCTGCTTTGTCAACAAGGATTGCTTTCTGCTGCAGTAAAAAGCTCACTATTTGTTCTTGATTACGTTGAGCTGCTACTATTAGAGCTGTTTCCTTACCACTACCTTGAAGATTAACATCAATACCAGCATCTACTAGCATCTTTACAACTCTTTCTTTATTTTTCCTAACAGCACTGATCAAAGCCGTTAAGAAACTGGCTCCACCATCTAATAGAGCCTTGATTACGTGAACAGCCTCTCCTTCAATAGCTATCTCTACTGCACTCTTTTCTCCCTTATTTTTACTGTTAGGATCAGCTCCTAACTGCAGTAGCATTGATACTTCAAAGCTATCACCAGCTTTAACTGATTGACAGAGTGAAACATTAAAATTATTATTTTCTTCTCTTTTGACACAAACCAGCTTCCTCTGTCCAATGGTAACTTCTAATATGCCAACGCTTTCCAATGATTCTCTTCTGTCTTCCACCACCTTAATAAAATTCTCAGCCTGCGACTTTACTAGTGACAACATAATAGATAGTGCTGTCAATGAATTGAAAGTCTTATAGCAATCTGCATGACACTCTTTAAAGTAATGTTGAAGAGTGTCATTGAAAGAGCTTACTGTCATCATTTCCCATCTTTTATGGAATCTGATAACAATTTGCTCATTGGTACGACAGAGCAAAGGTAATGCCGGTGATACTGCTGATTGCAAATGTTTCATTTGAGAGGATCTTGATAATTTTTCAATGCCATTTATGTATTGACATAAATCATTTTGCAGCTCATCACCTTCTGGAATTAGATTTTGAACCAAACTTCTAATTAGAGCACAGTTGAGTGGGTCACAGTAGGGCATGATACTGGTAAAAGTATCATCTAGGGATCCTTTTTTGAGATTTGCTTCAAGACTCTTTTCAATGTGTGATGCAACATCTTGCAACTTCAGTTTATTGCTGGCAATAAAATTTTGAAATTGATTTTTGAGCTTCTCAATGATGTCTGAGAGTAGAAAATTGAGATCTTCAAGCCCCTGAACAACTTCATCTTTTGTGCTCAGCTCTATCACTGCTGTCTTACCCTGAATGGTGGGCAACTCCTTCTCTATAATAACAGTGATAAAAACAATAAAAATAACAATAAAACTTACTGTCGATTGATTCCTTTCTTAATTTATCAGCAATGAAATTTAGATCAACTTTCTGTAGAGAAGTGATGAGAGAAGAGATAGCAGTTGATGGATCAGGATGTTTCTCTATAATTTCGAGTAATGGGATCACAAGTTTCTCGGCTCTTTCTGCTGGACTACATGAAGTATCAGCTACATCAAAAAATACTGATTTAGGAATAATATGCAGAGAAAAGAGATCATCAATTAATGGTGAAATAACTGGAGCATTCCCTGCAATCAGAGCAACAAGATCAGCTGACGCCATTGAAATGCATTCTGGTGACTTTGCTAATGTACATGTACCTATCATCAAAAATAAAAAAATCCTTTATTTTTAATTCACAGACCTTCTTCTTCATTTTTAACTTCTTCTAATTTTCCTTTTTCAAAGCGTTCTGACATTCTACGAACACGAGTTACTGGATTCCGCCTTCCTAAATAAACAAATAATGTTTATTGTTTACTGTAACCATGGTAACAGCAGTGAAATATTCAATGACTAGTAATGCAAGGAGTTTTGTTGGTATAGTTTTGTTTACTTAAGTAATTAATTAATTAATCAGTAATTAAATCTTACTAAGATTTAGCTCCTTTTCTAATCTATCAGCTATCGAAATAAGTTTGACTTTTCGTAGAGAAGTAATGAGAGAAGAGATAACACTTGAGGGATCAGAATGTTTCTCTATAATATCCAGTAACGAATCCATGAGTTTGCCAGCTCTCTCTACTGCAGGACTAGACTGAGTATTGACATCATGTTGCACTTCTTGAGAGATAGTATATGAAGCAAAGAGAAGATTTGTTAGTTGAGTAATAACTGGAGGATTCCCTGCTAATAGCTCAACAAGGTCAGCTGACGTCTCTTTCAGCATCATATATTCCAAAGGCTTTGCTGATGCTGTATCTATTAACATAATAATTTGAAATCTTTATATTACATTGTTATACCTTTACTTTCAACTGTCACTTCTTTCAATGGCTCACTTTCAAAGCATCCTTTAAGTGCTTTTATCTTACCTCCACCAGGTTCCTGCCTATTTTTAGATTTGTGACTATCTAAGCCAGAAGTAGGACGCACAAGTTTTTTTACATCACGTGGTACTCGAGTACTTTCTGCTGATTTAGGTCGAACTTTATTAAGTGGCTTTCCTGTAATCATACAAATAGAATCCCCACTATACTATGCATATTAACTCACTCTCTTCAAAACGCTTTGATATTTCCTCTACTTTTGACATTTTACGAACTCCAGGTACTGGATTCTGCATTCCTAAATATTAAACAAAATAATGGTTATTATTTGTTGTAGCCATGATTAAAGGAGCAAAATATTCAATGACTAGCAATGCAAGGAGTTTTGTTGGTGTAGTTTTGTTTATTTAAAGTAATTAATTAATTAATTACATGTAATTCAATCTTACCAAGATTTTCTAATCTATCAGCTATGGAAATAAGTTCAACTTTTTGTAGTGAAGTAATGAGAGAAGAGATAACACTTGAGGGATCAGAATGCTTCTCTATAATATCCAGTAACAGATCCATGAGTTTACCAGCTCTCTGTACTGGAGTTAGTGGACTAGACTGAGTATTGACATCATGATGCACTTCTGGAGAGATAGTATATGAAGCAGAGAGGAGATTTTTTAGTTGAGTAATAAGTGCAGGATTCCCTGCTAATAGATCAACAAGATCAGCTGATGTCTCTTTCAGTGCCATATATTCCAAAGGTTTTGCTGATGCTGCATCTATTAACAAAATAATTTATATTACATTGCTATACCTTTACTTTCAACTGTCACTTCTTTTGATTTTCTACTTTCAAAGTGTCCTTTAAGTCTGTTTATCTTACCAGTACCAGGTTCCTGCTTATTTTTCAATTTTTGACTATCTGGTCCAGAAGTTGGATGATGCTCAATTTTTTTTACAACACGTGATACTCGAGTACTTTCTGTTGATTTAGGTCGAACATTACTAAGTGGCTTTCCTATAATCATATGAATAGAATCCACACTATACTATACATATTAACTAACTCTCTTGATCTAATTTGTCTGCTACTTCAGTTTCAAATAAATCTTTGCGGATAACCTCAGACAGTGAGTCAAAGGTAGCTCCTCCTTTGCGTAGCCATGTGGCAATGCATTCATTAAAACAATCTTTCACTTCTGAGTAGTTTGCTGCAATATCGGCCAGTGTCTTCCTCTCTAGTCCTAATTTTACTCCTAGCTGCCTCCATTTTTTCTGATTGGAGAACCCGCATTTCACCAACAAACGAATCACGTCATCCAGTTGATCTAAAAAACCTTGTAATAGTGATGCAAGGCCAATAAACATTTACCTATAGTTAACGGGGAAGAGAACAGAGAATTTTGAGGAGGAGGTTTTGATGCCATTGCATTTGTTTACATTTTGCAAAAAATAGGGCGGGGCTCGTTTGGGGTGTGGCCCTGGCTTATTAAAAGTAGGTGGGGCTTGAGTGTAGTAGGTGTGGTCAAGTGAGAGCAGACGCCATAATAAAACAACACAGCAAATAATCTTCAGAGACTCCTCAGGAGAGAAAGAGGGAGAGAGAAGGAGAGGGAAAAGATGGCAACAGGCGAAGCGGAAAACAGCTTAAAAAGAGAATCATCAAAGTAAGAAAAAAACAAAAAATATCAATAATAACTATAATATTTAGGGAATTATTACAAGAAAGAATAAAAATATTCTTCATTCAGTTGACCAGAGGGTGTGGCCAGAAATCCTGCAAGAACCTTGAGTGTGCCAGTGGGCGTGGATACTCCTCCCCTCCTAACGAGGCAGCAGCAAACGCAGTGAGACTAGCACAACAAAAAGCGACGCCATGTTTATCACTTTTATCAAAACCGACAAACGGATTGGTCAGTCCTAGAGGGAAGGATGGACGGAAAGGGGAGGAGCCTGTTTCTGGTGGTAGTGACGAGCCCATGGAGGTGGAGTCGGGAAAGGCCACGCCCAAATCAAAGGTGTTAGCCTCGTCTGAAGTCGACCAATCAGAATCAACAATGGAGACTAATGAGGAAACTGCTGTAATACAGTTCCCATTAGAAAGTAATTAATAATTATTAACTAATTAATAATTATTAATTAATTAATAATTATAATTTATCTTTAATGTATTGGGTACTATAGTAACTGTGATATTAATTAATGCATCACTTTAATTGAAAGCATTTTAAAGATCCTTTGCCTAAATTTAATAAAAACAGTATAGTACACACACTAATAAAGTTAATTTAATTAAAGTGACAGCTACATTTACATGTACATTATAGCTAATTTATTATACCATTTTATTTATTCCTATTTTTAATCACCTCTTCATTCCTCCACAGGTAACATTGGTCTTACATTATCCAGTATCAAGTCACTAATAAGTAAAACTGATTCGTTACATTACAAAGAACTCACCTCAACGCTCTGGAACGTCTTCTCAAGCCCTCAGATACTCAACAACAGTTTCATAATACCCGAATGCCCACCCTCCTCTCTCTCTCGTGTCAGACAAAGAACAGGGATCCTTGTCGACGTGACCGCTGTTCGCGAAGCTTATAAACTTCTTTACGAGTTAGAAATACCTGCCATCACCAATACCCTTTGCAACGCCATGAGTAATTATTGTTCTTCGCTTTCGGGCGCTGACGAAGTTAAGTTCTCATCTCAACTTGGCCATATTATAACGTTATTTGAAAACCCTCTACTGCACAGTCCCGAGTTTGTGGATCGTGCCTACCCTCAGTTCCTTAAAGTCATATTGGGACTCTCCGTAACGCAAAAAGCAATCCTAGTCGAATGGTACTCGAGCTACACTGCTGATGAGTTAATAGGATTCATAGCCTCGTTAAAACAATTGATATTAATTAATTTACTGAATGAAGATGTTAGTGTTACCATACAAGGAAATTCCGCCATTGCCTCGGCAACCCACACCCTCATGTTATTTTATGTGTCAAGTCTCGTCATCGCCAAGAGAGAGGGAGGACTCCGCCCACACAGCCACAAATTAGTGTCGGCAATAGCAATGCCACTACCAGAACAAATGGCCGTCCGTCGATTAAACATATTCCAGATGTTATTATCAAAGTTCAGTGTCCATCCGTCCGAGGTTTTAAAGAGTTCAATACCACTTGATGAGTTTGTCCTAGAACTGATCAACAATGAAGTAGATATGGGTATTGACTACAGGCGGTTTAAGCATAAGTACTTTGAGGATGGCAGCCATGTTTTTTGCTTTCTTGATCACCCGTTTGTCCTCTCAACTAGTAATAAAGTTGAAACAATCCACCTGGATCATAATTATCGTATGTTTAGTGAGAGACAGAGGACACTGTTCCACACTGTCCTCACTGGAATACCTGATCTACCCTTCCTTGTACTGAGGATTGACAGACATGATATTGTCAATGATACCCTGGCACAGGTAGGTGTGGTTTAATAGGTGTGGCATTAACGAGGGGGCTGGGTAATTTTGATAGAGATTAGTTTAGGACATTGTACATGTACACATGTGAATCAGTATCACTTTTCATGGGATTTATTATTGATAACATTTAGTACGTTTCACTTTTATATTTCACAGCTTTTATTTTGTCTTTCTTTCTTTCTTTCTTTCTCTCTCTCTCTCCCTCCGTCCGTCCGTCCCTCTTTCTCCATCCCTCTCTCTCTCTCCCTCCCTCCCACTCTCTCCCTCCCTCACTCCCTCCGTCCCTTTAGCTTGAAGCTATTACTGAGTTGAATCCGTCCGATATTCAGAAGCAGCTGAGGATAGAGTTCAAAGGAGAAGAGGGCATTGATGAGGGAGGACTCCAGAAAGAGTTCTTCCAATTATTAATAGAGAAACTGTTTGATCCAATGAATGGTGAGTAGAACTAGATAATAATGTGTATAATATTATATGTACATGTACATGTAAGTATTATGCATAATATTATACATGTACATGTACATTTATGTTTTCTTTTTTTACATTTTCTGATACATATACTGTACATTGTACATGTACTTATGTTGCGTAGAAACTTTGAAGTGATTCTGATCTAATTCAGATTTTTTATGAATGTTTAAAGTTATTCAAAAATGGACAAAAGTCCCTGAACTATAGTACAGGAATTTTGGCCAACTTTTGCCAAAAATGAAAAGGAGAGAATTCTCTGCTTTTATATTTTTTCTGATACTTATGTACGTGTACATGTACCTACTGTATACATGGCAAGGGTAATCACTGATGAAATACAGTGTACTTGTACTTGTACTTCTTTTACCAATAATCATCTTGTACCCACTAATGGTCAGTAACTTGCATGTACTGTAGTACAGTATGATCTTTCTTTCTTGGATATTTTTCATTAATTTGATATTTATAATATTAATAATCATTAAGCCAAGATAACTAATTAATCAAAAATGTAATATTACAGTTAAGCAAAAAGAGGCCTAAAGCAGCAACAATAAACTGTGCATGTCCTATAGTGTTGCATGAGTCCTAAAGTTCTTGGCTTTTAGCTGATGAGCTCCGTTACTGAGCATCACAATAGTGATAACAGTAATTATCAGCATTCTCCACTGCATTAGCAGGATTGTCTTCAGCCAATTCCTTGCAGTCAGAGCGGCCATAAGCATGATCATCAGTATCACCAAAAAGATGAGACCATTCATGGATCAGTGTGCCCTCCTTGCTTTCACCAGTTGTGCTGCAAGATGTTTGAGAATTGTAGTACTCGCTGCAGAGATAGACGGTATCTTTAATATTTGTCCATATATAGGCATAGGTATTAGCTCCACAATCTGGACCATCATTATAGTATGTTACAGCAGTGTTAGTCAGTCCAGTCTTTATATCTGAATATACTTTTTGAGCCGCAGCTGTCCTTGTAGCATCATATGCACCAAACCATGTAGTAGATATATTAATATTTTCGCCAACTTGACCACGAGCTGTATCAGATCCAGAGCAGAGCTTTTTATGAGCCTCCAGTGTTTGACTGTTGTTATTATCACCATTAGAGAAACTAGCATCGCTACAGGATTCAATGTAGACAGTGTAATCAATTTTTACTTCTTCTATCTTTGGTTTCATAAGAGCAGAAGTGTCTTCCAAGTACAGTTGAGTGGATTCATGTACAAACGATTCCCTGAGCTTACCAATAGACAATAGATTAATCTCATTACCTGACAGATACTGTAAAGGTCTACTGTATTGTACAGTGTAGAGACCATCAGTATCAATGCTAAAGGCATCAGTGATTTGGACTGTTGTAGAAATACTCTCACCTGCCTTCAAGAGAACAAACTCATCCTTTGTAGGAGGAGCACGACGCATGATAATACCTTCATATTTCAGTGGACGACCGTCAAGAGAGACAGAGACAAATTGAGATCTGAGTCCTTCAAGAGGAGTGTTACGTTTGAGTAGATAAAGATCCTCATTTGCATTGTTGGTAAACTCAAAAGAGCAAGCAACTGCAGAAAGAGCTTTATTACAAGCCATGTCAAGAGAGACTGGCCAGCCATTAGCACTGCATGTACAAGAGAAAAGTAACATTGATTTGATAGTGTAGTAACATACCTGAGAGCACAGGTCAGGTAAGTAACCAGACAGAAGAGTGAGAGTAGAGTCTTCATGATTCCTTTCCTTGATAGACAGTATTCCTTCTTCTTGTGAGATGATTTCTTGTTTTAGTGAGAAGTGTTTGACTGTTGCTGGTCACCTCCTTATATACTATTAGGTACCTCATCAATATTCACTAGCAATTAAGCTAAAACTGACCAATCAGAGCCTAACTGCATGACATCAATTATTTTGAGCAAGAATAGGCCTACATGTATGACTGCCATACTTAGAATTTCAACAGTTAAAGTGACTACCAAGTTACTACTCTGTCTAACTTTCCAGTGAAATAAATTTAACTACATGTAGAGTATTCACTTCCTATAGACAATCAGTTACTTTAATACAAAGTGACACTTGAAGCAAATAAATATGTATTCATTGCCTATAACCAGACCAGGGACTACAGCCTTGGGTATTTTTCAGAATTTTTGTGTTTTTTAAAAATGGCCACAACTCAAAAATTCAAGCTGGAATCACCTCAAACTTTCTACACAGCATAAGGACATCAATATGCTTCAAAAAATGTAATAAGAATGTGGGGTGATTCAGGAGCCATTTTTTCACAAAAAACCATGGGCTATAGCCTTTGCTACGATTACAATGTACATGTACATGTACTTCTTACGTTTGGTTTGATATAATGAAAATGAGAATACAGTTCATTAGCATCCTAACCTGTTTTCATGACATTAGTCATTTTAAACAATAGGCTATGATTGTAGGCTGGGGAATGGTCTTGGAAATAACTAAAAAGTATTACTAAATGGGAAACAGTTCAAAATGTTCCAAATACAATGTACAGTACATGTAACTATACTAGACTGGGGAATGGACTATGGTCTGGCTAGTGAGCCAAAGGCCATTATACATGTACATGTAGTTTGAATGTAACGTAAAACTGATATTTTACTTAAAACCAAATGCTGTAGATCTAGCAACAGGTGATTGTCCCATTTCACTTCTAAAAGTCCCTGTATACAGTATAGCCGGTTTCAGTTGAGTTGCCCAAGTACCACCCCTTATAACTTTTTTATTACTAATGCTAGCAACCTGAAACTTGGTATAGTTGCATAACAGGTTCTTCCGAAAATCTGTACCAATTTTTGAGTCTCTAGGTACTCTGGAAGGTTCTGAATGGGTTCTTCCACTCTAGTTCAAAAGGGGCCACCATGATGAATCATTACGTTTACGCTACATCACACTCATGAATATCATTTGCATCTCATTATTATTTTAACAAAATTAATGTTTTTTATTTTATAAAATAAAGGCAGACAGATAAGGTCCTCTAAAGAAGGAGGCATTCAACTAGCAGTCTATACTACTGGGAAACATCTGCTATACCTGTCCACAGCCTTCTTGATCGCCGTTTTTCTTCATCACCCTCAACCTAGGTTGTTATCTTCCATATTGGAGGTCTTTGTCAGCTTTATAACAGAAAAAAGTCTAGCTAGTGATAATGAAAGGTAGTAGTATCCAAAGCAAGGATAGAATAGACAATAAAAGGTCTTAGAGGTGAAGAAACGCTCAATGAAAGAGTTTGCTTGCACTTTGCCACCATTTTGGGTGTGGCTAGGAATGACGTTTTGTGATGCAAACATTGATTTACTTCCTGTGACAACTCAAATGAAACTGACTATACAGCAACTTTGGCCAAATTTTGCCAAAAATAAAAAAGTGAAAATTCTCCATTTTTACTACATTTTCAGATGCATATACCGTATTTCCTCGTGGAAACGCCTAGGCGTTTATTTCTTATAGAGACCTGTTTGCTAGGCGTTTAAATGAAGTAGGCGTTTATACGAGGTGGGCGTTTATAACCCAAAAATAATCCTTACCACCATGTTTCAATAGACACAACGTTAAAACTGACATCAAAACTTCTGAGTTTCTTTAGCCTTCTCAGCTGCAGCTGCCATTGTAGAATGTAAACTACTAAACTACGTAAGGTACATGTACCACGTGGATGGGGTAGGTGGGTGTGGTATAGGCTTTTAATCAAGAATGGGCGTCTAAACAAGCATGGGCGTTTATTGTCAAAGTTATGTGCTGTCTCTAGGCGTTTATACAGGCATGGGCGTTTATAGGGAGTAGGCGTTTCCACGAGGAAATACGGTACATGTATAAATAATAATGTATAATAATTTTTACATGTAAAATACATGTATTTTTTATACATGTACTTGAGTTGTGTAAAAAGTTTGAACTGATTTCGATCAAATTTTGATTTTTTACGAACTTTTAACGTTAATGTACTTATTCATTTTTACCATATTAGGCATGTTTTGATTTGATGAAGATAACTGATTTTTTGAACTGATATTATACTAGAACTAGAAACTAATGTGTATAATGTACATGTACATGTAAGTATTATGCATATACATGTACATGTACATTTATGTTTTCTTTTTTTACATTTTCTGATACATATACTGTACATTGTACATGTACTTATGTTGCGTAGAAACTTTGAAGTGATTCTGATCAAATTCAGATTTTTATGAATGTTTAAAGCTACTCAAAAATGGGCAAAAGTCCCTGAACTATAGTACAGGAATTTTAGCCAACTTTTGCCAAAAATGAAAAGGAGAGAATTCTCCGCTTTTATATTTTTTTCTGATGCTTACAGTATACAGTATACATGTACTGTACATGTACACCTATTCGTGGCAAGAGTAATTACTGATGAAATACAGTGTACTTGTACTTGTACTTCTTTTACCAGTAAGCATCTTGTACCCACTAATGGTCAGTGACTTGCATGTACTGTAGTACAGTATGATCTTTTCTTCTTGGATATTTTTAATATTAATGATCAATAGCCAAGATAACTAATTAATCAAAAATGTAATATTACAGGTAAGCAAAAATAAACTGTGCATGTCCTATAGTGTTGCATGAGTCCTAAAGTTCTTGGCTTTTAGCTGATGAGCTCCATTACTGAGCATCACAATAGTGATAACAGTAATTATCAGCATTCTCTACTGCCCTAGAAGGATTGTTTTCAGCTAAATCCTTGCAGTCAGAGCGACCATATTCATAATCATCAGTATCGCCAAAAAGATGAGACCATTCATGAACCAGTGTGCCCTCCTTGCTTTCACCAGTTGTGCTGCAAGATGTTTGAGAATTGTAGTACTCGTCACAAAGATAGACGGTATCTTTAATATTTGGATATATATAGGCATAATCACCATCTTCACACTCAGGGCCATCGTTGTAGTATTTTACAGCAGTGTTAGTTAGTCCAGTCTTTATTTTTGAATATACTTCTTGAGCATCAGCCGTCCTTCCAGCATCATATTCACCGAACCATGTAGTAGATATAGTAAAATTTTTGCCAACTTTACCTTTAGCTTTATCAGATCCAGAGCAGAGCTTCTTATGAGCAGTGAGTGTTTCGCCGTTCTGTCTATCACCACCAGAGAAACTAGCACTGCTACAGGATTGGAAGTGGACAGTGTAGTCGATTTTTACTTCTTCTATCTTTGGTTTCATAAGAGCAGAAGTGTCTTCCAAGTAAAGTTGAGCGGATTCACGTACAATCGATTCCCTGAGCTTACCAGTAGACATTGCACTCATCTCATTCACTGACAGATACTGTAAAGGTCTACTGTATTGTACAGTGTAGAGACCATCAGTATGAATGCTAAAGGCATCAGTGATTTGGACTGTTGCAGAAATACTCTCACCTGCCTTCAAGAGAATGAAATTTTTTTTTGTAGGAGGAGCACGGCGCACATAAATACCATTATATTTTAGTGGACGACCGTCAAGAGAGACAGAGACAAATTGAGATCTGAGTCCTTCAAGAGGAGTGTTACGTTTGAGTAGATAAAGATCCTCATTTGCATTGTTGGTAAACTCAAAAGAGCAAGCAACTGCAGAAAGAGCTTTATTACAAGCCATGTCAAGAGAGACTGGCCAGCCATTAGCACTGCATGTACAAGAGAAAAGTAACATTGATTTGATAGTGTAGTAACATACCTGAGAGCACAGGTGAGGTAAGTAACCAGACAGAAGAGTGAGAGTAGAGTCTTCATGATTCCTTTCCTTGATAGAGAGTATTCCTTCTTCTTGTGAGATGATTTCTTGTTTTAGTGAGAAGTGATTGACTGCTGCTGGTCACCTCCTTATATACTATTAGGTACCTCATCAATATTCATTAGCAATTAAACAAAACTGACCAATCAGAGGCTAGCTGCATGACATCAATTATTCTGAGCAAAAATAGGCCTACATGTATGACTTCTATACTTAGAATTTCAGCAGTTGAAGTGTTTTCCAAGTTACTACGCTATCTAAATTTCCAGTGAAATGAGTATAACTCAGTGTAGAGTATTCACTTCCTATAGACAATCAATTACTTTAATACAAAGTGACACTTGAAGCAAATAATTATATATCCAGTGTCTATAACTAGGACTATAAAATTCTGAAAAATACTCAAGGCTATAGCCTTGGGATTCACCTCAAACTTGCTACACATCATAAGGACATCAATATGTATCAGAAAATGTAATAAAAATTTGGTGTGATTTCGGAGCCATTTAAAAAAAACCATGGGCTATAGCCTTGGGTATTTTTCAGAATTTTGGTATTTTCTTAAAATGGTCGTAACTTGAAAAATTGAAGTCGGATTCAGCTCAAACTTGTTACACAGCATAAGGACATCAATATGTATCAGAAAATGTAATAAAAATTTGGTGTGATTTCGGAGCCATTTAAAAAAAACCATGGGCTATAGCCTTGGGTATTTTTCAGAATTTTGGTATTTTCTTAAAATGGTCGTAACTTGAAAAATTGAAGTCGGATTCAGCTCAAACTTGTTACACAGCATAAGGACATCAATATGTATCAGAAAATGTAATAAAAATTTGGGGTGATTTCAGAGCCATTTTATCCTTACAATGTACAGTACATGTACATGTACGTCTTACGTTTGGTTTGATATAATGAGAATGAGAATACAGTTCATTAGCATCCTAACCTGTCTCCATGACATTAGTCATTTTAAACAATAGGCTATGATTGTAGGCTGGGAATGGTCTTGGAAATAACTAAAAAGTATTACTAAATGGGAAACAGTTCAAAATGTTCCAAATACAATGTACAAATAACTATACTAGACTGGGGAATGGACTATGGTATGGCTAGTGAGCCAAAGGCCATTATACATGCACATGTAGTTTGAATGTAACGTAAAACTGATATTTTACTTAAAACCAAATGCTGTAGATCTAGCAACAAATGATTGTCCCATTTCACTTCTAAAAGTCTCTGCATGTATACAGTACAGCAACTGTGGCCAAATTTTGCCAAAAATAAAAAAGTGAAAATTCTTCATTTTTATTACATTTTCAGATGCATATACATGTACATGTACTTGAGTTGTGTAGCAAATTTGGTTTTTTTTACAAACTTTTACAGTTAATGTACTTATTTATTTTTACCATATTAGGCATGTTTCGATTTGATGAAGATAACCAGTTTTACTGGTTTAACTCGGTGTCCCTAGAATCAGAGGAGCAATACAGACTGATTGGTATTCTCCTGGGGCTGGCCATATACAACAATGTTATACTGGACGTGAGGTTCCCTATGATAGTCTATCATAAACTGATCGGATGTACTCCCGTCTTTAAAGACCTTTACTCATCTCATCCAGTTAGTACAGTGTATGTATCACTGACACTGTACATGTAGTTGTACTGTAGTTAATAGTAATGTAATGATGATTGGTACTATCTATCATTAAGATCTTGTGTACACTTTTGACAATAATAATAATTGTAACTTTAATTTTAAAATTTTTATGTTCTGTGTAGCTAAAGTTGTGACATTGTATTCAGATGGTCAGATACATGTACACGTACTTTTATAGTTTAATGTTGCATGTACATGTACAGTGTACATGTATGCATCTTTTCTGTACATGTTAAATGTTAAATGTTACATTTTGTCTTTTGCTGTAGGTTATAGCCAAGTCTCTTCAGTCGATGTTGGATTTTGAAGGAACTGATGATGAATTTCAGGACACATACATGGCCACATTCTCCATTACTTATTCCGACATGTTTGTAATGGTACAGTCCACTGACCTCAAAGAAAATGGAGACAAAATACCAGTCACACTAGAGAACAGACAAGTACATGAATGTAAACGTTACGTGTACACTTTTAAATTTATTTTTTATTTCAGGAATATGTTGATCTCTATACTGATTGGTTGTTAAATAAGTCGATTGCTAAACAGTTTGATGCCTTTAAGAAAGGGTTTGATCTCGTAATGAAGGACAAACACTTAGCAGATCTCTTCACTGCTGAGGAGGTGGAGATGTTAGTGTGTGGGAGCAAGGTGAGCATTAAATAGAATAGCATGGGCATTAAATAGAATAAATATGGGCATTAAATAGAATAGCATGGGCATTAAATAGAAGTACATGTAACAATGGCGTGAACATTGTTTACATGTTTTATATGTAATTGTTTGGTTTTTATTTGTCATTAGGAATGGGATTTCAATTCGCTGGAGGAGAACACTCGTTATGACGGGTTCTCAAAGTCGCACTCCGTCATCATGTAAGAGATACATGTACAGCTGGTGGGGAAATACCGTGACTTTTAAATAGCCAAAATTTCCATGTACATGTGTCTTGGTTTTTGTTCTTTTTCTAGTAATTTCTGGGAAGTGTTTTACGAGTTTAACGAAGACGAGAAGAAGCAGCTGCTAGCTTTTGTGACCGGATCTGATCGAGTGCCAGTGGGCGGACTATCCAACCTTAAACTGGTCATCGTTAAGAATGGACCTGACTCTGACAGGTATAATAGTAATGATAATAATAATAATAATAATAATAATAATAATAATAATAATAATAATGTACATGTACATGTACATGTAGTTTCTAATTGACACCATTTTTATAAACAAAAAAATAAGATCACCTTTTGAAAATATAGGAAAATTGTACATGTACATGTACATGGATATACATGTACATGTAGCTAAATGACACCATTTTTATAAATAAAAAATAACCTATTTAAAGTAAAGAAAAATTGCATGTACAATGTACATAGCATTGACACTGACTGAGTGAATACTTGTACATATACATGCACTGTATGTACTGTACATGTATGATTTATGTATAATGTGTATTCACTGTATTGCTGTACAGTACAATGTTATGCTAATGTCTATAGGTTACCCACTGCTCATACTTGTTTCAATGCATTGTTACTCTGTGAGTACAGTTCAAAGGAGAAGTTAAAGGAGAGATTATTGACTGCCATTAGAAATGGTAAAGGATTTGGAATGTTGTAACAACTTCTAATCAAACCATGCACCTATTATTGATAAATAATAATTAAATTATTATTGTTATTGTTATTATTATTATTATTATTATTATTATTATTATTGTTAAGTTATGTGGTTGTTCCATCACTGTATGTTAATAATGATAATAAAAAGAATTACTTTATTATAATAATCATAAAAATGTCCAACTGTAAAACAAGAGCGTGATTTGTACAACAGCTGCAATAGTTGTTTTTACTTGTCAAAATTCAAAAATTTCCCCTCCATATGCTGTTGTTACAGTACTGACTGCATAGTAAGTTTATGGCTGCAAGGTCAGCCAGTCTGTGACTGAAAGTACAAATAAAGTCAACCACTTCCTGTATGAAGTAACATAATGTTTACACTATATATTTATTAGTATAACTATTAACATATGCCACTATCTTGTGTTGCTTCAAAGTGATAGAGTTCTGTTAGTATTTTGATAAACTGTTGAAGGCTGCAATGTACACCTTGTCCTATATTGAGTACCAGATCATTAGTATTGCAATACCAGTAGCTCTGGCTCTAGTCTCATGTATAGCAGTGGTTGTTGGAGGAATCAAACTAGGACTGGATAAAGTGGTGAGGAAAGTCTTCCCTTATGTCAAGAAGAAAGAAGAAGCAGGTGAAACTTGGATTGATGTCTTTGGCTATCACCTCTCAAAATGGGAGTTTATTATTCTTTTTCTAATAGTACTACTAGTAGTTTTCTATGCTACATATATATTCTTTTCCTCCTTCACCGATATTTCTTACAAGTATGATCCTTTTGATCCATTTGATTGCTTCTTTTACAGCAACTGGTCACTGGTACAAGCCACACCAGAAGAAGCACTGATACTAGAGGAGAATGTGCTCTGTTTTACAGTGAACTTGAATATTGGGAGAGCAATGGGTCAAGCTACTGGAACTCTGGCATTTTCATGGATATTTTCATCCGTCATTATATGGATATCAATTGAGTTGAAAAAGAAGAGGATGAAAGCCACTGAAGAGAGGAACAACAAGCGCTGTTACAGTTGTTGCCTATTGCTGATAGTCTGTTATATTCCTGCTTGTCTACTCAGCATGGGTTTGATAGCCATTGGTATTATTGCTGTTATTCATAAGTTTACTACTCTAGTTAGTTCTATTGAGATCATTACATGTGGATCAATATTGGGACTTCAAATAAAATTTCTTATAATATCTGATGTGGTACTATGCATTAATAATCTTAAACAACAAAGACAAAGGAGAGCTACAGATGATAAGAAGAAACCACTTCTTCCTACTAGATCATCTACTGTAAATACAACACCTACTGATGTACTTGTGCATACGTGACAAACAATAGACATGGTGCTCATTATTTTGTTATTAAAGCTATACATGTATATATTATGCTTCTCCTTTCTCTATTATGATTTCTCATTGTCTGGTGTGCTATGTATTGAGTGCTTGTTTTTTGAGGAATTTTTACAATTTGCTAAAATTTCCTTTTTAACACAAACCATGATATCCTTGTATGTATTTTTATAAGTACCCAGCAACACATAAATGCATATGCATTATTGAAAGACTCAGTACATCAATGATAAAATTATTCAGGATGTTCTGTATACTGTATGAATACAGCAGCAAAGCATCCTGTTGTGTGTCGGTGCATGAATGACTTCCTTTGCTGTGTACGTAAATGCACTTAATGCAGTGTCAGCTAGTTTTATTTCCATTTAAACACTGGGCAGCAGTGTAAAGGCTCAATTGCATGTCTAAGAAGTTACAAGAAGATAGGATGGTGTCTTATGCAGAATATCAGCTGATTAGTCTCATACTACCAGTAGCTCTTGGTTTAGTGGCATCAGTAGGAGTGTGCATTGGAGGAATAATGATGACGCCAAAACAGCTGGTTAGGCTAGTCTTCCCTTATGTGAAGAAGAGAACTAGAAAAGGTCAGAAGGAAGTGCTCATGTTTCATTATGAGCTCTCAGATTTGGAAGTTGGTATTCTCTTTTCTATAGTACTACTAGTCATTTTCTCTGCTACATTTATATTTGCTTCCTCTTTTACTCACGTTACTTACCATTATAATCCTTATGATTCCTTTGATTGCTTCTTCACTAGTAATGATTCATTGGTTGAATTATCTCCTGAAGAAGCACTGACTCTAGAGGAGAGTGTCCAGTGTTTTCAATTGAAGTTTAGCATTGCAAAAGCAATGGGCGAAACTGCAGGTACGCTGGCATTTTTGTGGATATTTTCATCCATAATGACATGGATATCAGTTAAAATAAAGAAAGAAACTGAAGAAAGAAGAAAGACTGCAGAAAGGCAGAAAAAAAATCAAAGAAGAGAAATAAAGCGAGAGCAAGGAGGTGGTCTACTGGAAGAAACCCAAGGAGAAGACTGCCAAGTAAAGATAACAGAGGATGAAAACCAAGGAGAGAATGAAAGTCAAATACAGCAAGAAAGTCAAAATAAAGAACCAGTAGATCTTGATTTCAAGCATCGTATATCCTTGTTCTGGTATATATTGCTGATAATAATATTTTATATCTTTACCACTCTGCTTAGCATAAGTTTGATAATTGCTGGTGCATTTGCTTTTACCAGTCAATTCACTGATCTGCTAAGCTCAGTAGAACTTATGGCATGTGGTTTTATACTGGCACTTCAAATAATACCTCTAATAGTATCTGATGTCATTTATTTGAAAAAGTTTGTGACTAAGAAAAAAGGAGAGGCTAAAGTTGAATTTCATATACCTCGTGCCCATACTGTCTAACTTGCTCAAAATATTTGATGTAAACTTTAAATGCTCTGGGGCATTAACATTATTAATAATATTGGAGTGCTGTTAAACATGTGCTGTCTTTTTGATATACAATGATAGTTGTTCAATAAAACATTTTCAAAAGACCAACTTAGTATAAACTCGTAAACATCTCACTGATAACAATGTGTTTTTGATAACATTGTTCACACAAGACCAATTTCATACAAGGAAATTGTAGCTCATGTATAATACCATTGACTGCCTCATTAATATCTCTCAACTCTCTCTCATTCATCAACATAAAATTCCCAGTATAGCTATCATGCTCATTCATATAAAACTAGTGTTTACAATTATGCATTACAAACAGCCTATAATACCAGTCAGTGATACAAGAGCTTTTCCTTCACAGTAATGGTATAATTACTAACTGGATAATTGGTATTACACAGAATCAGGATACAAGCAAACATTATCTTAACATTTATTTAAAATGTTCTTCTGAACTGATTCATGCACTAACTGTTGACGCTTCTGCTGCTACATCAAGTAATGGTAATGTATATCTCTTTACAAGTGATATTGAAGTACAGTATGGAACTTAGTAATGATTAATGTAATGATAGATCTTGCATCTTAATAGCAGATTAAATAGCAATAATGATATTTAAAAAGACGTTTATTGATATCATAATAATAAATTAATGCATTATTAGCCTCAACTTGTTTACAGAGCCAATTTGATTATACAAGGAAATTGCCTATGTATACTTTAATAATTTTCAAAACATTTCTTAGTCCAGATAACAATTATTGGACTGGCCGGAATAACAATATATATCATTAGTGATTGTATAGCTATGAAATATTGTATTGTGAGTAATTAACTAATCTAGAAAGCCAATTCCATTTTACAAGGAAACTAGAGGAATGTGTGTACCATTAACTACTCATTTAGGCCATGTGTTACCCTCTCAGCTCTCCTCAACCATTATAATAACAGTCCCAGTGTTACTGTCATACATACACAATGCTAACAATTATCAGTTATCAGTATACAAGTGGATAAATTGATACTTAGAGTATTGTGATGTTCAGTATAATGTAGCTGGCCTGGAGGTATGCACAAAAGAGTATCAAAGTGTGTGTGGATTACTTATGGCAGATATTGTGATGGGTGCATCTTGTTCAGTGAGTTATGGTCAGTGCCCTAATGGGACAGCTCTTGATTTTTACTGCTTTTAGTGGTTAGTTTATGCTTCAATGTAGAATCATATTTTTAACAAATAATCATCACATAAATTTATACACTCTACAATACAAATGTAATGTGTAACACTATGTCTCAGCTAAATTGTTATGTCATTGCTTTGTCACAAGCCACCCACATGTATGATACAGTACAGCCCAGTAAATATATCTTACCAAAACAGAAATGAAACATCTTCACAAGATTTTGTTGTATTTATATATTATATATTATGCTAATGTTGTTACTTTTAGGTTACCCACTGCTCATACTTGTTTCAATGCATTGTTACTCTGTGAGTATAGTTCAAAGGAGAAGTTAAAGGAGAGACTATTGACTGCCATTAGAAATGGTAAAGGATTTGGAATGTTGTAACAACTTCTAATCAAACCATGCACCTTATAATTGATAAATAATAATTAGATTTATTATTACTATCATTGTTGTTATTGCTAAGTATAACGTCACATGGGAAGAGAATGATAAAATCTTAACTATGAATACTGTTATGTACTTATGAGTGGGGTGTGTTAGTGTAACTATATGTTCAGGGTTGTTTTGAATTCATAAATAGCTAAGCTAGCAGGCAGATTTAGGTAGGAAAAATATGTTGTCCTATATTGATTACCAGATTATCAGCTTTGGAATTCCAGCAGCTCTAGCTTTATTGTCATTACCAGTATCAATTTTTGTATGCTGGAAAGTTGGTTCTAAGAAGATGGTCAAGAAAGTCTTTCCTTATGTAAAGGAGGAAGGTATCCAGCAAACTGGAAGCTTTATTGAAGTGTTTGGATACTCACTTGAAGATTGGGAAATTAATATTCTTCTCGTTATAGTACTACTAATTATTTCCTTTGCTACATTTATATTTGGCTCCTCTTTTACTGATATTTCCTACAAATACAATCCTTATGATCATTTTGAATGCTTCTTCAGTAATGGATCACTGGTTGAAGTGACTCCTGAGGAAGCACTGGTACTAGAAGATGAAGTGAAGTGCTTCACTTGGAATTTTAATATCGGTAAAGCAATGGGACAAGCTACTGGTACGCTGGTGTTTTCGTGGATATTTTCATCTGTCATTATATGGATAACAATGAAACTGAAATATAAACGAAAGGAGGCCAAAGATGAAAAGGACTCTAAATGTTGTTGTTGCTGCTGTGTCTTGCAAATATTCATTTATTTTGTTGCTACTTCATTTAGTGTGGGATTGATAGCTGGTGGGGTCTTCTTATGCATACATAAGTACACAACTCAGCTCTGTTCAGTCCAGATTGTGACATGTGGCTCAATACTTACGCTTCAATTAGCACTTTTAATGGCATCTGATTTTGCTCCTTTCGTTGAGAAGCTGCTCCGTCAATTTAGATCAAATGCTGTACAAAGCTCAGTTAATCGACCAGAATATCAGAAAATTTAAGTCCAAGTGAAACATTAACTTTAAGTGTCACAAATTGCTGTTTTATTATAGTGTTTTTCTGGACCTATAATTGTTTTCACTATTGTGCTATCAATAGATTCATATTTTACAATGAGTAATTTTTTGATACTACCATGTTTATGTTTTTGTATGTAGATGCGAGTCTGTCAGATATAACATAGATTTCATACACAGGTCTGTGTATTATATCTATGGATAATAAGACTACTAAGTACTAGTCCATAATCTTCATCTATCATGCCGTTAGGATTCATGCATGCATGAATGCATTGAAATATTTATCCATGAATTATTTTGAAGTTATCTGACTTTGCACAATAAACTAATAAATATCATTTTAAGTCTTTGATCTGCCTCATTCACGCAGCTGAGCAGTCAACAAGCCAAGTTAGCAATAGCTGCAGTCCACATAAGCTAGAGTTGTAGCTATAGCCTGGACTAAACTGAGCTAAGGAAAATATGGTGTCTCATATGGGATATCAGATCATTAGCATCATAGTTCCTCTAGCTCTTGCTTCATTGGCATCAATAGCAGTGCTTATTGCAGGTGGGATACTGAAACCCAATAAAGTGGTGAGGATAATTGTACCTTTTGCAAAGAAGAAAGTTGATGATAATGATCAGATTACGGTGTTTGGTTACAAGCTCAAGGACAGGGAAATCGCTATTCTTTTTGTCACAGTATTATTAGTCATTTTCCTTGCTACATATATATTTGCATCCTCCTTCACTGATATATCCTTCAAGTACAATCCTTATGATACCTTCGATTGCTTTTTTGCAAATAATGACTCATTCGTACAAGTTACACCAGAGGAAGCACTGATACTAGAGGATAAAGTAGTGTGCTTTACAGTAAACTTTAACATTGGGAAATCAATGGGTCAAGCTACTGGTACACTGGCATTTTCATGGATATTTTCAGCTATCATGACATGGATATCAATCAAACTAAGAGAGAAACGAGAAGCAACTGATCAGAATAATCAAGAGATACCAACTGAGGAAGAAACAGAACCAGCTGAGGGACAAACAGAACAAGGAGGAACAAGGAGAGCTGTCAAAAAAAAGAAATGGAACACTTGTTGCTGCTTATCGTTGATGCTTTGCTATTCATTTGCTTGTTCAGTTAGTGTGGGTTTGATAGCTGGTGGGATCTGCTTAGGCATGTTTAAGTACACTACTCTGATCAGCACAGTTGAAATTGTTACATGTGGTTTAATACTTGGACTTCAGCTATTATTATTTACGGTATCTGATATTGTTCTTTGCTTTAAATATCTTCGCCTCAGAAGAAAGAAGCCAGAAGATAAAGAGAACCTAAATGATCCAGTATAAGTACTGCTGTGAACAGATTTTTTGCTATTAAACTATAAAATTTATGCTGCTTAGTTTTTCTAGTCTAAGATTGTAAAACATGTAGTATTTATAAATTTCCTCATTTGATTTTGTACTTATGCCACAGATGTTTATTATTTCTTATGATACTTAGTAGAACTAGTTTCAGTCCTCTCAGCCCTCCTCTGAATAGACAGCAACAAGGCATCATGTCAGTTATGTATCATTATCATTAATGGATGACTTAGTTTTGCTCTGCATGCATGCAAATGTGCTTATTATTGCAGTGTCAGCTAGTGCTTTTTTTGAGCAGTTACTATGATACAAATAGTCTCAGTCGAGTAGCGGATAGCCAGTGTACAGCCTACGTCACAGGTAAATCATGCGTCATCATCGTCACAATAACAACCCCACCCACCCACGTGTATCATTGTCAAGGGCCAAAAACCAAAACTCCTATCTCAGGACTAATGGCGGAGCCAGCGGCTAAAAAAGTAACACAAGAGGAGGTCAAAGCAGCTGAAGAAAATGTAAAGAAACTGAGAAAAGAAGGAGCCAGCAAAGAACTTGTAAGTCACACCCTTTTACACACTGACCAATCAGAACACTCCATTGGTGTCACGTGATGCTTGTCATGTGGAGGGGGAGTAGAGTGAATATTAAAAGGGTGAAATTAATTAGAATTTTATTGTTATTATTATTTATTTTTATTTATTTATAGTTAGATGAGGCAATTGAAAAATTACGGACTTTGAAAAAAAGTTTAACGACTTCAAATGATGAGTCAGCACATCAGTTTGTACTGAAGTGTCCAAAAGTAATTAATAATTAATAAATAATTATGGGCGTGGTACTAATTGATAATTAAATAAATAGACACATGTTAGTAGTTACAAAAATAGAGAATTCTCACCTTTTCACATTTTTGGTAAAATTTGGCCAATGACCCTGTACTATAGTACAGGGACTTTTGCCTGATTTTTGAGTAAATTAAAAAATTCCTTAAAATTCGATTTCGATCAGATTTAGTTCAAACTTTCTACACAACATAAGTACATGTATATACATCAGAAAATGTAATAAAAATGGAGAATTCTCACCTTTCCATTTTTGATAAAATTTGGCCACAGTCCCTGTACTATAGTACAGGGACTTTTGTCTGATTTTTGAGTAAATTAAAAAATTCCTTAAAATTCAATTTCGATCAGATTTAGTTCAAACTTTCTACACAACATAAGTACATGTATATACATCAGAAAATGTAATAAAAATGGAGAATTCTCACCTTTCCATTTTTGATAAAATTTGGCCACAGTCCCTGTACTATAGTACAGGGACTTTTGTCTGATTTTTGAGTAAATTTAAAAATTCCTAAAAATTCAATTTTAATTGGATTTAGTTCAAACTTTCTACGCAGCATAAATACATGTATATGCATCAGAAAATGTAATAAAAATGGAGAATTCTCACCTTTCCATTTTTGGTAAAATTTGGCCAATGACCCTGTACTATAGTACAGGGACTTTTATCTGATTTTTGAGTAAATTTAAAAATTCCTAAAAATTCAATTTTAATTGGATTTAGTTCAAACTTTCTACACAACATAAGTACATGTATATGCATCAGAAAATGTAATGAAAATAGAGAATTCTTTCTTATTTGATATCACTATCAGTGGTATTATGAGGTTTGTAAATCAATTCCATTTATCAGGGTACTCGTGATTATGATCCGTTTCAAATGTCAATAAGAGAAAAGGTTTTTAACACCATCACTAATTGTTTCAAACGTCACGGAGCCGTCACTCTGAGTACTCCGGTCTTTGAACTTAAGGAAACCCTCACTGGTAAATACGGGGAAGACTCAAAACTGATCTATGACCTCGCTGATCAGGGAGGAGAATCACTGTCACTACGCTATGATTTAACAGTAAGTAAAGTGGGGTTAATTTTTAATACATTTTTGCACTTATTGAAGTATTGCATTTGGATGATGAATTGACTCTAAAAGAGGTTTGGAGGTTAAAATTTTAACTACATCTTTGTGCATGTCCTATCAAATTGGAGGCTAAAATTTTGATGATTGGACCTCATTTTTGCCAAAATTTTACTCCACCAAATTATTGAGTATTACTCATTAAATTATTCATTTGTATTAATTATCTGTCACCTGGAGGCGTGGCTTGCAGGATCACTAATAATATGATCATTTAATAATTGCGTGTGTATATACATGTACTAGAAAGAATGTAAAAGACTGAGAGGCTCCACCTCCTACATGTAGATACCGTATTGCAGGTTTTTTTTCGAGGATAATAAATTTCGTGAATGACCCATATCCAGAAGTTTGCGGAATTAATTTTCACGAATTTTCACTAATCTGCCATCTTGTATCGTATTAAATTGATTTTCAAAGAATTTTAATTTCGCGAATCATGAAAAAATTTGTGAAATTTGCGAAATTTGTTATCCTCGAAAATTTCCCGCTATACGGTACTGTAGCTGCATTCTGGAAAAGCAGAGTCTCTACCATATCATGACTTCTGGCCTGCTCCTACTAACTGTGTTGATCATCATTTTATTCTTTTTAGAACACTCCCACTTTAAATTTTAAAAATGAAATGAATTTCTATTGCATGGCTGATGCATAAATACGATATTACACATAAATAGAGGTGAAGTATGTAAATGTGCACACAGCTGACAGAGGGACCAAACAGGGCGTGACTGAGAGTCTTGTAATAAAAGGGCTTTGCCCAACAATTCATGTGGAGGATTTTATTTTCCAATATAAAATGGGTCATTTTGAGTATGCTCAATCACAGAACTACTAATAGCTAATACTCATTACATATTACTCTAATCAATGATGCAGTACTACTAACAGGTTAATGAAATTATGACGATACTATGATCTTTCTCTCAATCTTCTCCATCAGAATCTTTTTTCATTTTATTATATTTTATTAATGATAAGCCAAGAATAATATTAATTAATCAAAAATGTAATATTACATGTAAGCAAAAAGAGGCCTAAAGCAGCAAAAATAAACTGTGCATGTCCTATAGTGTTGCATGAGTCCTAAAGTTCTTGGCTTTTAGCTGATGAGCTCCTTATCGACCCTCACAATAGAAGTAGGTATAGGAATCAGCATTTTTCAAGGCACTATCAGGATTACTTTTAGCCAGGTTCTTGCAATTACTGGCACCATAAACAACATCATCACGGGCAGCCAGAGCATGAGCCCATTCATGAATCAATGTACCTTCTTTAGTGTAGGCGGTACCCCTGCAGGCTGTTGGATCATCATAGAACAATTGGCAAAGATACACCACTGTTTGAGAATATGATTTATACGTGTATGCTATCCAGTTGGACTTGCAAGCTGGACCATCGTTGTAATATGTGAGAGATTTGCTTCCTATCCCAGTCCTCATCTTACTGTATGTATCTGATGCAATTGCAGCTCTTGCTGCAGTGTATGCTCCAAACCATGTCACATAGCGAGTGTTGTTACCAACTGCACCTTTAGCTTTATCAAGTCCTGCACAGAGCCTCTTATGAGCATCCAGTGTACCAGAGTTGTTCTTATCACCATTAGAGAAACTAGCAGCAGTGCAGGATTCAATGTAGACAGTGTAATCGATTTCTACTTTTTGCTCCTTTGGCCT